GGTTAGGTACCCAAGCTCCCAATTTTGGGGATATTTTGGGGAAATCCCCAAAGTTAAACAGCCTTCCTCAAAGTTTGGGGACATTTTGGGGAAATCCCCAAAGTTAAACAGCCTTAGAGTTGATACGTATCAACTCTAAGGTGTGGCTTTAACTTAAGCCAAGAGGTCAAACAATTCGCATCCAGCTCTTGTAAACTGACCATCCAAACGGATCACGCGTATTAGTTACTCACAGGAGCAAAATAACGTTGTCACACGAATGTCCTTTATTTATGATCCTGCAGTGATACTGGTTCTCAACCACACGATCCTCGAAGCCGAGCACAGAATGTGAAATTTTACACTCAACACTTAGCATAGAGACATCAGAAATAGCGAATGAGCAAACAGGATTCGAAATGGCATGGTTCGACCATGTAGGAGCGGTCACTCTTTGTAACTCATTCCTTCCCACATTAAATATATTACTCTACCCTCAACTCAAGTGTGTCTTTCAGAAGTGCTATGCATCACATCGCCGACCGTCACAATAGGACGATTCAGCGTATGTAAAGAGGCGACTTCCGCGTAAGCTACTATAGGTTAGGTAGTCATATCATGACAAGTCTACAATTGTAGAATAGGTCTATTATTCAAGCAGCATAGACAGTCGCACTTATAACAGCCTTGATCATAATTGAACAATCGCAGTACTATGGATGAAGTAAAGAATTGTAGACCATGTTTAGTGTAGTTACCTGTCCGTAACATATGATGTACCCTTATTGATCAGGTAAATTTTACTTCGGTTTTCGCGAGAACAAGACACTGTGAAAACTTTAACATTACAACTTGAACAGAATGGCTCAATCAACGCAGGCACTTGACACCCTTGCGAGCCGGCTCTGACAATGGACTTTCTAGGGTCATTGCGGCCCCAAGCCCTGATAAAGAAGAATTGTTGATCATAGATTCAGCAACCCTGCATCGTGGAAAAGCTTTCCACCTCGAAAAGTCATTTGAACCATTTAGACTGCACCCTAGGAGTTGACTGATTTTCATTTGGGAGAATTCTGACGTCTCACAGTTAAAGCCTAGACTCTTCGAAAATCACGAAGTCAGTGTCTTTTCTAACAACCAAGGGAGTGTCTGGATAATAAGGAAAATTTACAGGGCTAGTCAAACGGCTACGAAAATGAGGAAATGCAACCTGGCAGTGCTCGGGTTAAATGAAGCTGATTGGGCCGAAGCTGAACAGAGATGATTAACTTTTGGAGGGATGCTATCGCACTCTGGTCATGAGGAAGGATATGCTCCTCATACACAAGGAGTTGCACTGATGCCGTCTAAAGAAGCACGAGGAGCACTGATAGAGTGCGAATCTGATGGATCCAGAGTCACCGGAGCATTCTTCGAAACGAATAAAGAGGGGATCCGATATGTAATAGTTAAAGCAAAATATGGTTTGTCGTTGAGCGTGGACAAATAGATACAACTTGCTGAATATTTGACTTTGTATAAAGTGTTCGTGAGTCCTAAACTTGAGTGCTGCGAAAAACTGTATGATTAAGCAGTCTCAATACTTGGTCACAAAGTGATCAATGTCTAATCCTAGGGAACTTTAATGCACCCATAGCAGACTGGGAAAGTCTGAGAATTGAATCATCAGATAATTCCTTCGATGACATGACTCAGAATCGATCACAATGGCGTCGGTGTATACACTCTCTGTCTTCCTCTAAACTAAGAGATTAAAATCACTTCAAATCATTCTACCAACTAGTTCTTTCTTCCTGTACTATCTCCTTATACACAATCTTTCTTCTATATATTACCACCACTGAATTAACTACTTCCATGAATCCGGTGTTGATCTTGTTGTGCTAATGCGGTATGGCAACTTAGACCGATGCATATATGTGCCTGGTCCTACGTTGCAGCTGACTGACTAACTGACTCCTATCAGGAACTAGTTGATGCGGTTATTACATGTGCCCTAGTGCAACACGTGAAAGAAGCGACTAGGTACGAACCGGACTCTCAGTCATCCTTACTAGATCTCATACTGACTCATTATGAGGATGACGTTACAAACCTCGATTACATGCCAGCCCTAAGTAAAAGTGGTCATGCGGTTTTAACCTTTTACTTCCATATAATAATACCTGCTTCGGTTTGGGCACCCGGGCAGTATCACAGCCCTCACACAAATCAATTGAGATTCGTGTGGCGCATATGTACTTGGTGCCTCCTTGTACCTATACCTGTATTAAAATAAATAAATAAATAATAAACTTCCATATAATTGGCAATCACGAACACGCGTCAGCTCAATCCAAACCTAACGTCTGGAAGGCAAACATACAAGATATCATGCACTCATCATCGTCAGTAGATAGGACAATAGAGCCAGAGTCCTCAATCAGAACGGCTTGGGACGTATTTCGAAATTTATACTTAAAAGTTACCGCACCCCACATCTCTAGGACTACACCAAAGGGGTCGAGAAACTCTCCACCATGGCTCAGTAGGGAGGTTCGCATCCTTCTCCGTGCGAGAAGAAAAGTGTCGGATGGGTTTAGGTTACTAGGGACTGATGAGACAAAATCTCATATCGGACAGCTCGGAATACCTGTGCCTCGACCCTCCGTAAGTCTAGAAGTTTGTTATTATTTATTTATTTTAACACATAAGTATAGGTACAGAGAGGCACCAAGTACATATGCGCCACACAAATCTCAATTGATTTGTGTGAGGGCTGTGATACTGCTCGGGTGCCCAAACCGAACCAGGTGGTTTCCTTAGGGGGCCACACCCCGAGCCTTCGACCTGGACGTCTGACCCACAAGGCAGTGGAGCATCGTAAGGAGATGCAGTCCCATGGTAGCCGGTGACCAACGATTGGTTCATACGCCATTTGTTCCCTCAGGATACTGGAGCCTATGTGCACCATTGGTTTGGGGTCCGGTTAAAGCGCCAGACATTCGCTTTTCGTCCTCTCATTTTTGTAAACAACACCCCCGCCACGAGAAGGCAGTGAGTAGAACTTACCTGGCAGAGGCTATATACGCGTGACCATGTGAGAGCATTTCGAGAGGGAGAGCGGACTCTCCCCACTCTCGGCCGTACCAGGGCATTTGTACAAAAAGAAAATTGTCAAGGAATCCATAGAATGTCCGAAATGCTTATATTCGTAAACAAACCAAGGGACAAAAAGTAGAGGAAATATTCCTGCACTATGGGGAGACAGTACTGCTTCATCTTTAATGGAGGATGACTTTGGTAAGGCTCAATTATACTCAAACTACTTTATCAATGTATATACCATGGAAACGCACTTCCCGTCAGTCTATACAAATTCCTCCACACAAACACTGGACAGAGTGACCATTAAGGAACTCGATGTCTTTGGTCTGATAAATAAGCTGAAATATCAAAGACTCCCATTGTGGACATTGGAACAACACATATAAGCGAACAATTGTCCTCAATTAGATCGTCGTCAAGCTTTACTCTAATATTCATAAATATTTATACGAAAATGTTAGACCAATCAAATCAATTGCGGTCAACAATCACGATGAAATAGAATGGGTCACCACACATAATAGATAAAAATACAAGTTGATAGTAAAAAGACAGGTGTACTGATAGTAGTAAGTATAATAAAATACGATAATAAAAGTCTTATCAATAGTTATAGAAGGTCAAACGTGAATAAAGAGACTTGGAATCGCCATCACAAAACATTAAAATCATTACGTAATAAGAAATGTGTAATTAGATAGTGAAGAAAATAAACGGAAAAAGGCGGAAAATTACAAACAAATAATGGATGTGAAAATAAGGTTAATGATAACAACAGTAGAATAAAATAAATAAATAATAATAAGGATTAAAAACAAGAAATAGAAAAGAAAAAAATCGTCTGTTAAGACATCGATCACTTTGTGACCAAGTATTGAGACTGCTTAGCAAGACCACGCCATCGGAGTTCTGAGATTAAACAACAGTAAGCATCTAATACAATGTTTTTGTTAAGTGTTAGTTATAACTTACGACATCATAAAGTGAAACCTACAGTAATGTTACATAGAGTTGATGCCTGCGTTTATAAGCGAAAAGCAGCACTGCAAATTTTTATATTATTATTGCTTCCATTATAATGCTCACATCTCTTACGTTGCGAAAATAATCTTGAATAGCGTTATCATAAACCTTCGCTAATGCACTTACTGAATAAGGCTCCCAAAGCCAGTCTTAAGACCTGCACGAAAATAATTGTGCTGTCGTAAAACCCGAAGTTGTAAAAACTGCTTTTCGTGTCAGTCCCCAGCAGCGTCGACTTAAAAGCCAGCTCAAGCTTCATAACGTCAAATATAATGTATCTTAAAGATGTTTTTGGCTGGTTATTCGTTAGCATAATTATGATAGCAATCTAAAATGTAAAATGAGACAGTCGGCTTAAAAATTCATCTCATGGATCTTGTCAAAAATGTTCCTACTACTAACTATTTTTAGTCTACAAAGATAACTAAGTTCGTTTGATTTCTTGTTAAATGTAGGCGTTCTTGATAGGAACAGCGCTTATCTCATAATCACAGACTGTTCAGACACCCTAGATGCAAATTAGAATTAAGTTGCATTTATGCTTGTTAATTTATATGACTGAAGATAAGTCGTGTTTGACTGGTACCCTAATGTTAATCATTTTAGGAACGGATCCAAATTTCTGTGAATAAATAGTTTTTCATGCATCAGTCACCCTCCTGAATCGTATTGACTGCTTGGAAAAGTCGGTTTCACCGAAGAAATAATGGCGAACGTCAAAGGTATTTAGCGGAAAATAGATAGAGCAGGAAAATAGGCAACTTGTAAGTTTTAGAAAGTAAAACTATTGCAGAAACCACAGATTATTTCATCCATAATTTTATTCTTTCCCTATAAACCTGTTTATATCATTCGGTTTTAGAGGAGACTTGTCTGATTGTACAACTTTCCTGTATAACAAGCACAAAGCGATGCTAGTTAAGAAAAGCGATTCCAAGAAGTTTCCAATGAGAACCGCCGGAGATGTTGTGAAACGTGTTTTATGGGATGAAAAGATTCCTCAGAAATTTATAACAATTGGATATTTGGATAGGTTTAAAGGGATTCTAGAAAAGCCTTTCGATGATTTTTCATGGGAACCACTAGATAGTTTAGATTATTTCACTTTTGGTGTACCTGAACACCGAATTCAGTACTTTAAATACAAGGATATAGTTGTATGGGATAAACGTTTCAGAATAGATAGAGTTTTCGGTAGTAGTCGTTCAACTAAGACAATACGAGATGTAATAGAAAACTATGAAAAGTATTGTAAGACTTTTCGAGACATTCCTGATGTTCCGCTCAGCAATGTAGTTGATAATGATTTTTTGGACTGGAATACAAATGTTGCAGAAGATACCTGCTCATCGGAAAGTCAAACAGAAGTGTTAAACGAGACGATCAAGCAAATAATAAAAAATAAACCGAATTTCTTCATTTGTCAGCGAATCGAATCTCCAGATTTCATAGAAAAAGCGTTAAAGATTCAGTCAAAAATCTGTAACACTCAACCGTACTATAATGGTTGTTGTATTGAGTCAAAACTATTTCATCTTACACTATCAACATTACGACTGGAAGGTAGTTTGCAAGTAAGCAAGTAGAATTTTAGTGAGTATTTCAGTTTTGAATGAGACTTGTTTTAAAGCTGTATTGGAACTTTAGTAGTTTTACAGATCTGCCGATCTAAATAATTTAAATAAAATGACTAGAACCATCAAATTCGTTAAATTAAACTCGAAAGTATATTATCACTTAATTTTGACTGTCTCGAGACAAACTGATTATAAGCTAATGGTGATTGATCCTGTTATGTTTTTCGTGAACTTTAAACTTCTGTAACACTATTTAAATACAATTATTCTGTGATATAACTCGTTGATTATAACCGAACTACATATCCGTTCGTCCTACATAGTAATCCAATCGTAAAGATCATATTCACCGCCTGCGACATCCCTCAACTGTTATTACATACTATTAAAGCATGTTTCAGTGGCAGTATGAAATACTTGAATATTTTGGAAATTTCAAAGTTTAAAAATGCATAACACTCCTGATGTTTGTCTAAAAAGCACTGTTAGTTACTTAATGTTTGCTATTTAGAAATCCTATTTTCCCAAGTCTGGACCTAATTCTTAAGCTAATGTATTTGTTGCTGTTATCACGCTTTATGACTTGTTTCCGCCACTACACATGCCATCTTGCTATCAGTATTTTATTTTTATTAAATAATCATTTGTGTAATCTACTTTATTGTTATCAATAACTAACAAATTGGCTTGATTAGTCTAATAGTATTCGTACGTATATATAAACAAAACTGTAGAGTAGAACTTAATGAAACCCAATTGAAAACAACACTGTTATCACGTATCTCTTGTAATGTACATAATTTTATTGCCATCCATCTACACCACGCTTTTACAGGTTTGAGTGTATATGAGTCAGTTAACTAAACAAAGACTAAACGTACTCTTTGTAACAGTGATAACTTTACTCGTGTTGTTGTTGTAAGTGCAATTACTTACTGTGCTACAGTGACATTTGTTATTTTTCCAGTAGACATAAGCTTTTTTTATCATCTTAGTAAACTTCATTTCACATTTTGTAGATATCTGAGTGCATGGAAGCCCTCAAACAGGCTGAAACAAAGCTTTGCAGATCTGTCCCAACAAACCAATTAACAATAAAAGGTGTGGGTAACTTCCATGGTCGAGTTTTATATGCAGTAGTTGAGTCTAATGAAGATTTGAATTTCTTTGTCGATCAGCTAAATCAGACTCTACATGTGGCCGGATTCCACACAGATGATCAGAGAAAGTTCAAACCTCATATCTCTCTGATGAAGGTATGTGTAGTTTTGTTTTTAAACAATCTTATAACGAATAATAACCCACCTACATGTGTTCAATGATGTGCAATTTAACCATAACCATTTAGATAATTAAAATAACCCATTGTCATTGAATAACCATTTAACTTAGTCAAGTTCATTCGTGCCATGTACTTTCATTTTAATTTCTTGAATCTTCTAAAGTTTTTGAGCTTAAGTTGTGTGGATATTGAGATTTCCAGACTACTTTTAGGTGCTTTTTGGCGAACTGATTGAAATAATTAAATGACGGCCCATTGTGAACCCTGATACTACAAACTGACTCCAACGATATGCTTTTGTTGATGTAGAGTTTACATGTATCTAATGTTAACACTGAGTATAAAATTGACTAACTAAACACCTACAGGCTCCTGCTTAAGTTGTCACAAAGAAGCATCATTTTATATCAGGTCAATTTCTATTAATTAATATCATATTCATCAAATCAAAGTTACAATTTAAGACATCCAGTTACAGAAAGTTAAATTCAGAACGTCAGTGAATGAATTGCTAATCTTAACATGCACCTTGACAAAGGTTTATTTATTTATTAAAACACATAGATATTGGTACAGGGGGGCACCAAATATATATGCGCCACACAAAACAATGAGAATTTAAGAAGGGGAAAAAAAGTAAGGAACTTAGGGAATTATAAAAAAAACAATAATGAGGGAGACAAAAGGTACACTCAGAAGAAATCTTATAGTTAAGGAAGATGCAAACACTTTTTATGAAGAAAGTAAAAGAAGGTTACAGCAGGATCGCCACTGGCTTCTATTCTGAGCCATATCTGATAACGTCTCTAGCCACTGTGTTACACCGTCTCTCGTACCCCAGCCAGGGAATCGTTAAGGACCAACACAAGCCAGCCCTTTGCAGCTTTCTTTCATACCACGACACCATGTCATATACTGACCGCCTCTCCGCTTTTTCCAACCAGTCCCAGAGTCGGCAAATAATGCACGACGTGGAATTCTCTTGGACGACATTTGTAAAATATGTCTAAGCCACCGAAGTCGGTGTTTCAAGATGGTGACACCAATTAGATTGTTGTCTCTGTGCCCGAACACACGATGCCGAACTTCTGCATTACTAACATGGTGTTGCTACTGGATGTCAGCAATCCTTCGGAGACAGCGATGATCGAACACAGAGAGTCGTCTAACATCCTCAACTCGGAGAGGCCAGGTTTCACAAGCATAGAGCAAAACTGCTCTCACCGTCGCGTTGTAGATCCGATCTTTTACAGCCAGACTGACATCACGAAGGCGCCAAAGATGGCCCAGATTGGCATAAGCCGCTCTGGCTTTCACTATACGTGCATTGATCTCATCACTCACGCCACCACTAGCATTTATGCAGCTACCTAGATACACGAACTTCTCGACTACTTCTATCTGCTCGCCATCCAGAGTGAGTACAGGATTAGAATCCTGCCAGTCTTGTAGAAGAACTTTGCACTGCGAAGGTGCAAAGCACATACCATACCTACGGACACTGATTGCCAACTGATTAAGTGCGGATTGCATGGCTTGAACATTCTCGCACAGTAAGACAATATCATCCGCATACTCAAGGTCGAGGAGTTTTTCTCCAGGCAACAGATCCACACCACCATTACTTACATCCATCAGAGCTGTTTCCAGAATGTCATCGATGGCAAAGTTGAAGAGGAATGGTGAGATTGGGCAACCCTGCCTAACCCCACTGCTTGAATGGAACAATGCAGAAAGGTGGTTGTATGCCCTCACTCTGCCTGAGGTGTTTGTATCTAGGGCTTTTAGGATGTTAATAAACTTCTCAGGTACACCCTTCTTCAATAGACATTCCCAGAGAACAGTTCTGTCCAACGAATCGAAGGCAGCCCTGATGTCAAGAAACACTACAATTGTTGGCCTTTGATAAGTATGACGGTGTCCTAACATTTGGCTGAGGGTGAAGATATGATCAATACATCCTCGACCAGAACAGAACCAGCCCAGTCAATGTTTCTCGGGTTTTGAAAAATCTACGAAGTATAACGGAAGCTAATAGCTTGGACGCAATCGGAAGTAGACTTATCCCCCGATAGTTGTTACAGGAGCGACGTGAACCCTTTTTAAAGATAGGGACAACTATCGACTCATTCCATGACGTTGGTACACTCTCTAGTTCCCAGACCTTTGTGAACAACGTCGTCAGTCCCTTAGTCAGAAAGTCACCACCATCTTTAGAAAGGGCCGGAGGTAAGTCGTCTGGGCCCGGTGATTTGTAACGTTTCAAGAGTTAGGGTTCCTAGCGGACTTCCGCCTCATTTGGTGGATCAATTGTCACCGGCCATGGAGGGCAGGACAGCCTGACCGATGTTGCCGGAGCAGCAGGCCAGTTGAACTGCCCTTCAAAGAATTCTGCCCATCGTCCAAGACGTTGATGGATGTTAGTGATTGGCGTTCCGTCATCTTCGCAGATGGTTTCGCTCACACCAGACTTTTCGCTGCCAGTGGCTCGGATGAGTTGGAAGAGCTTCCGGTAATTACCAGATGCAGCTCATTAGCACGCTCCGACCACCAGGCTTCTCGGTACTTACGCAAGCTTTGCTCGATTTCATTACGTAACATTCTTCGTCTGTGGTCAAACTCACGATCACCCGGAGTAGACCGACGGGCTTCAATCAGTTGTAAGGAACCAGAAGAAACCCAGTGCTTATAAGCGGGACGTTTCGCGAACCCACAACAGACTGTATCCGCCATTTTCATGGCGTCATGCAATTGCAACCAATGCTCATCTATACTTTTCGGTGGAATGGTAGCTAGCCTAGAAGCTAGCTCGGTTCGGTACTTACTAGCAACAGAAGTTGCAACCAGCTTGCTAACATCAATCCTTTGGTGGCGGTCACTTTGTTGGCCATTGAAAAGTAAGGTAAGATTGGCGCAGACCAGAGCATGATCAGATTCCAGATAGGTACTCGAAAAGGAGCGGCAGTCTTGTACACAACCGCGCCAGCGGTAGCTGATCGCGATGTGATCAATCTGAGTCCAGGCTTGAGATGCAGAAGAAGGACGCCAGGTAGCACATCGGCGATGACTGTGCCGAAAGTTAGTGCTAGCCAGAAACAGGTTGTGGTCTGTGCATAGTTGCAGTAGACGTTCCCCGTTATCTGTCCTGCGACCAACGAGTCCCCATCGGCCACCTAAACGACTCTCTTCTGTGCCTAGACGCCCGACCTGAGCATTCAAGTCTCCGGCTAGTACTACAATATCTGTCGAACGCACTTTCTGGAGAAGAACAGTCAAGTGGTGGTAGAATTCATCCTTGATTGCATCCGGGCTGCAATCTGTCGGGGCATAGGCGGAGATGACGAAAAGACATCGTTTCTGACGCCGATTTCTTCTCACTTTGATGGAACTTTCTAATCTAACAGCACATAACCGACTGTTAATGGGGATCCAATCGATCAGTGCTGCCTCAGCTCTAGCGCTTAGTGCGACACCAACGCCAGAAAGACCAGACGGAGATGCCACAGTGTCCCCGGATAAACGCAGGTAAAACAAGCTTTTTGAAGTGACCGATGGAGAGCGAACTTGTAGTACTTCACCAGAGTCTTGAATACGGGTCTCGGATAGACAACAAACGTCAATATTAAGACTTTCCAAAGACATAGCCAGCCCTATCTGTTGTCCGACCTGCATAAGTGTGCGAACGTTGAAGGCAGCCAGTTTGAATAGTGCACGTGGTTTCGGAAAAACTGCTTCAGTACTCGTATTCGATGGTAACATACAATTTTCAACCAGGCAGTGACACGAGAATGTTTAGATAGAGCCAAATGTCCACCATAGACAAGCTGCTGTATAAGTCGAAAAATAAAGATAGACAGAGTGGAAATAAAAGAGAGTGAATAAATAACGTGGTAAATAATAATAATAATGGGAATTGTTTGACGGTAAATCGCAGCGTGAATAGAGTTTTCAGAGAAAATCATCATTTTCATTATATTTGTGTGTGGGCTGTGATACTGCTCGGGTGCCCAGACCGAAGCAGGTGGTTTCCTTAGGGGGCCACACCCCGAGCCTTTGACCTAGAGGTCTAGTCCACAAGGCAGTGGAGCATCGTGGGGAGATGCAGTCCCATGGAAGCCAGTGACCGAGAAATTGGTTCATACGCCATTTATTCCTTCAGAATACTGGAGCCCATGTGCACCATTGATTTGGGATCCGGTTATAGTGCCGGACGTTCGCTTTTCGTCCTCTCATTTTCGTAAACAACACCCCCGCCACGAGAAGGCAGTGAGTAGGAATTCCCTGGCAGAGGCTCTATACGCGTGGCCGTGTGAGAGTATTTCGAGAGGGAGGGCGAACCCATCCCACTCTCGGCCATACCAGGGCATTTGGGAGCCAAAGGCACATCTAGAGATTACCTTTCCCGACTGTTGCTGCTACTATTGTGACCCTGAGGCCGGCTAGTTTTCACGTGGTTTACCTGCCAATCAAAATACGACTTATACAGTTTTGGCACTGTGCCAAACCAATGACGTTCGACCGTTATTTTGTCACAAATGTCTTGGAAATATTGCTCGCATCTGCTGGGATCACCGGGTGAATAATAGTGAGGCTAGACACAGGATATTAGGGAATGATAGTAAATCAGTTGATGAGGTTGGGAAGCTTGTGGTGTGAGCCACGTTGACTTCTTAATTCGGGTTTTTTATTAGTCTGAAAAGCTATCTTGTGATACTGCTATGTTTGAAGCGATTACGAGTTCACCTAGCCTGCGAACGGAACAAAGACCAATAAGCTAACTGTTCTGATGCGTTCCGGCCATAACACCTCCCTTTTTTTGAAGACTTGAAGTTTATACTCTGACTTTTGGTTAACTTAGATCTGATTTTTTTCGTTCTTCATCGTGTTCAGAGACTGATGGGATGAGTTTACGAAAACCCATCAGTGCAATAGAAATCCATTGGTTTTTTAGTAACCATTTGGTTTAAATCAATAACAGATGTCGCTGCTGTTTCCACAGCTATTCGTATATATTTCCAAGCGACATCTGGGTCAGCCTCGTTTTCAGAACTACCAAAGTGTGACCTCAGTTGTTCCTGAAATCTACTTTCAGCTTTCTGATCACTCAATTCAATTCTAGTGGGTCTTCTTAATGTGGCTTTTCTGCGTCCAGTGAGGCGCAAGCAAATGTGTGCTCATATTAGGCCATGATCAGAGTCCAAACAGGTATTCCAGAACGAGCGACAGTCTTCTATTGAGCCTCTCCAACGATGACTGATGGCAATGTGGTCTATTTGAGTCCATCGTTGGTTTGGTGGTGGTCATGTTAGACGATGTCTCCTTATGCTTAAAATTAGTGCTTGCTAAAAATAAACGATTGTCTGAGCACAGTCGCAGCACACGACGACCATTATCTGTTCGCTGTGCCGGAATACCAAAATACCCACCTAAATACCTTTCTGTTTGTTTTAAGATACCTATCTGGGCATTAAAATCACCTCTTACGAGTGCTATGTCTGAACGTTTAGCTTTCTGTAAAATTCATCTTTCACTTCATCCGAGCTGCAGTCAGTGGGAGCGTGGGCAGAAACGAGAAAAAGGCAACGACGTGTGTCCCTATCCTTCCGAGTTCTTACGGAGCCGTTTAGTCAAACAGCACATAGACGACTGTTAACGGGATCCACTCTAACAGTGCTTGTTCTGCCCTCGTTACTTAGTGCCATGCCCAAACCTACAGTCCACGAGAACTATCCATCGGGTCGCCAGACACAGAGGGTGTATCTCGTCGGCTCTCCGTTTTGCCGAGGTGAGGTCAAGTGAATGACCACACTAGGATCCTGTATGTGTGCTTCTGAGACACAGCATACCTCAACGGGACGAGATTTTAGGGTTTTAGCCAAGGGGGCCTGTTGGCCGATTTGACATAGAGTACGTTGAAGGCTCCAATGTGTAGCTTGGAGCGAGGTTTCAGTAGACTTTGGAAAGTGTTTTGCGCACAAGAATCGTTGGCTATGGTGACACTTGAGGAGGAAGCCAAAAGAGAAAGTTTAGAGTTGCAGGTCGATGTATGAGGAATAATAGGAATTGAAGAGGGAGGTTGATTATGAATACAGTGATCTTGAGTGCTGTTAGAGGTATGAGGGCGGTTGTCACTTCCCGGTTGACCACGCCGTGGAAGAACTTTTCTGGAGGTACCTGAAAACGAAATCGGGTTAAAGGTGGCCTTAGTGACCTGAGAGCGTGACCGCACTGCCCAAGAGACAACTGCTTGAGGTTGGTCACACGACTTTTTTGTGAGTAATTTTCGTGTTAGCTCCGTAATTGTTGAGACCTTACCGTCGGAGACGGATATTCATGGGATAAGGTGATGTGTGCATTCTTAGGGTCAACTTTTACTAAACACATCCCTCCTTGTGGAAAGGCAGCATCGCTGTCATGCTGGTTGTCTGAAGGAAACGCCTTACTGCCGCCACACCTCTGTACGACTTCGCCCTCAGACTTTAAATTTGCTGCTTTTAGTGTTACCGCTTTTCAACCGACCTGTCTGGCATGGTAGGATATTGAGGAACGATTGTTCCGGCCAGTATAGCTCAGTTGCTTCATCACGATAGCCAAGCCCGATCACCATGTCAAGGTAGAAGCAACGGTCTGGTTACTTCGTATCCATGAGACTATCGTAACCAATGGTTAGAGACTGGGTGACATGGCTCAAAATCGATCACAATGGCGTAGGTGTGTATACTCTTTGTCTTCCCTTAAACCGTGAGTTTAAAATCGCTTTATATCTTTCTTTCTACGAACTAATTCTTTTTTCCTGTATTATATCCTTTTACACAATCTTTCTTTTATATATTATTTCCATTGAAGTAACTATTTCTATTGATTTGATTTTCATCTTGCTGTGCTAATGAGGTGTAACAAATTGGACTGATGTATATATGTGCCTGGTCATACGTTGTAGCTGACTGACTGAGATTACCTTCTGCGCAGCAAACCTCCCAGTGATTGTCTTACTAACAATAAGTGGTTTTACACTTAAAATGCTACAGTGTTAGTTCGCTAAACGCTTACAGAAGATATTGCAGATCTTTCCTGTTGTATTTATTCATTTCGATTAGTGATCTTCCTGACCATTTAAGTTCTGAAGCTTGTTATTTGGTTATCACTCTTGTTGATAGTTAGTAGCAGATAAAAGTGTGAGTCGCCAGGTTTCCAATGTTATTAATGATTGACAACAATGAAGAAATTGACTTGCTCCGAAAATCTTACACCAGACATGGCCATTGTTTTTATTCAACCCATTGGTCAGTAATACTATATACTTTTAGTTATCATATTATCATTGTAATTATGTGACCACTGGTTGTTTTTAGTTATATATTCCCAATTTCAGATGAATCGTTCAGTATCAAAAAAAGTGGGTACGAAGAAAATCGACCCCAATCTGTATGGTGAATTTCTAGATACCGAGTTTGGAGTATTCATCCTAGATTCAATTCACTTGTGTGCAATAGGAAGACACCGTGATGATGATGGTTTCTATCATACTATCGGAAATTTACATCTTGTAAACCCGATCTCTAAATAAGATGGTTTTTGTAAACCTACTGTATATTTCTCCTGATATTTTAATATACTTTTGATAATTTTTTTGTAACTAACCAAAATAGTTTATTATTTTATTTTTTCCAAATCTTGATTTCAGTAGTGATACAAAATATACAGTTAAATATTTCTCTCAAATACTTATTTTGCTGGTTGCAGTTTCGTTATGTTTTAATGATCACTGTTTTAAGGGTGGAAAGTTTCATCTAGGAACAGTTGCAAAATATTACCAACTTGCACGCCCCAAGAAGTTTCAAAACCCGTATTGCTCGTCAGCAACCCTCTTCATCCTTTGATTCCCTCTCACATTTATTGTCTTCATGTCGACAATGTGAATGACTACTCGTACGACCATTTACTTGATAGCTAAAAACGAGCCTATGAAATACTACCCTTGGTCTTCTGCAACCAGGTTCTACATTAACGTCCTTAATATTCTGATTCTATGTTCCGTTGATTAGTCAAGCTTCAAATCTCAAACCTCTTAATCATGGAATTCAACCTTGCCAAAATAATAAAAGATGTGACTCGTTCTTTTGATATACACTAACTCAATGCCTAGCTATTATATGTAAACACGAGATTAAAGCATTAGCCTCTAGAATACTCAATTGAGTAGCAGTCAATAACCATGTGTTCTATCTACTTGGACGGGTTTGTGAAGACACATAAATTTAGAACAACATATATAAGCGAACAATATTGTTTTCGATTAGATCCTCATCAGGCTTTACTCTAATATGCAGTAGTATTTATATGCATATACGAAATTATTAAACCAATCAAGGTAGTTTATCAATCAATGATAACGATGAATAAAACGATTACATAATATGTGAAAAGTACAAATAGATAGTGTGATGACAGGTGTACTAGTTTTTATAAGAATAATAAAGGCTCAAATCAATGTTACATAATCGGAAGATACATAAAGCGAAGGTATTCGCAAATTATCCTATGCGACTACCTACAACAGTCTGGATGATAAAAATATCGACTTTATCGAAGAGTGAATATCCTATTTACTCACTGGTACTATGAACTGGCCTGGAGGTGACATTTAACTCGTGGGGTTACTTTCCATTCAAAATAGTGTTCATGGTCTGCTTTATGACTACAAGACCCTTAGAATAACTTCTTAAATCCGATTATTTAAGATTACTTTTTACAAATCGATTGTTCGTGCAAAATATACATTAAGTAAAAATGCTGAACTACATAATGAAGTAAAGATGACTTCAATAAGTTCGTACCCAAGGTGTACAATGTTTTGATACTTTGTATACGTATTATTAAACGCCCACCAAGTAGAGACTCACTATAACTTCCTAGTTTTAGCATAAATATTAAAATGTAAGGTGAAGTTTTACGTAAAAATGTGTTACCATATTAACTTTAACATTTCGCTTAATCATGTTTTAAATCGTGAAAATAACAATTACTCATACTGTTACATCATAATTGGAAAAGTAAAATAGAAACTGTATATTAACAAGATTAGATCGTCAGTTTTACAATTTCACGAGTCGTTTTAGCTTTTGGAAAAATAATTTACAAGATTTCCAAACATTATAGTCTTCTTGCCAAATTCCTCGTTTCATTCGAATCGCTTTCGATATAGCTGAGGAGTACTTGTTGCGAAAGTTATCTGGCAAATCATTGAAGCTTTTGTGGTTGGCTATTCCACTAACTAATAGGTGGTAGGATATATCTTTTTTTAAAAAATACCACTGCAACTATAAACAAAAATAGTAAGCTACTCGTTTGTAAATTATAGCCAGCAGTTCTGCATCCTCGAAAATTGGTTTTACAGGGATAAAATCAACACGTTCACCTGGGTGTATATTTTGCTTCAACCATTGTATACTTTGACCCGAATGCTGCACAGGAATAAAAATCTTCATGGCATTAGCTGTAATGTAATCATCTTAAGAACAACGTACCATATGGAACTTGGAAAGGCAGTTTAACCTTAGGTACATGGAAAATCTCCAATTCACCTGTAGGATGAATAGATTTAACCAAGCCTTTTAGGTGTATCTGGCGACTGTACACAGCAGATGGAATCGTGTGGATGGAGCTAAACTTAGTGAACTGAATGAATATATGCATGAACTGGCTTTATTTACGATATAAAAGTGCTTCCCGAGAAGATATACTCCAATTACGAAGAACGTTGTAGGTAATAACTGATTATTTGGTGTAAGAATCTGGTCTTACTCTTATAGTTTCTACATTTTCATCCAAATGTTGTTGAAGTCTATTCATCGCGCTATTCGTATTATAGATAACTATAGCAGGATTGCTCTAGCTGATATAAACAGTTATGATCCAATCAGCCAATAGAGGGGAAACGTCGCTTTTTCGCCTTTACGTCGTGTATTTAGGGGATATTTGTAGACAATAATACGTTACGTACGTCGTTGAATTTGCCGCGTCCGTTTATGTTTTCATAAACGTCGACAAAATAACTCACCGCTTAATAAAGAAACATCAAAATTAACATGAAAACAATTAAAAAAATACGGACACAGTGATTAAGCTGACACGCATATGCACTGACTTTAATTTTTCTTTAGCTAAGGTGTTCGGACATGCTTGGTATCCAACACAAATAACTAATGTGATGCGAGTGAATGATGTGCTCTTCATTTTTCATGTTCATTAAAATTTATTACCTTGTTAATCCAATAAGATGAGTTCCATTAAAGTCACTGAGAGAGCTCGTAGACGAAGGGTAACTATTAAGTTGTCAAGCGTTCTTGGTTGTCATAGGTCGACTTATAACAGACGGTGGAACAAAATACGAACAGCTTTCATGAAAAAACATAACTTGCTTTCATTTAGTGAGTTTGCTAATGAAAGCATGATCAAAGGTAACTGAATTTCTAAGTAGTTCACGTTTAATTGAGAGCAGCGTAGATAGAAATTTCTCGTAATGAGAATCCTTCAACTGTGACACCATCCAATAGCTAGAGTAATCAAAGGCTTCCAGACAATAATGGTATGTATATAAAGTGAATACGTGAATACATTTTTTGTAGAATCTAATGACGTTAATTTATGCTCTCAAAAGTCCGTTAATCGCAAAGTGAAAATCAATATTGTATTGATGAAGTTACTTACAAACACCTTTCTCAGCATCAGTGATGCTGATAGAATTCTGAATGATTCCAGAGACCTGTTTCCGGACTTACCAAGGAGCATCAGAAGTGTTCTAAGGACGTGTACAAGTGTCCAACTACAGTTCATCAGCAGTGGGATTTACTACCACCTCGGATTGGAAACCAATCTGCTAAGATTTGTTGAACTTTGGTTGTGTACTTTTGAATTCAATACTTTACATCTTCATATTAATGTAGATGGACTATCTATGTCTAGGAGCTCTAATCAACAATTATGGCCTATATTAGGACGGATCATTGCCCCAAGGTGTAGTGATGTGTTCATGATAGGGATCTCCAGGTGAATAGTAAACCGGCAAAGTTCAACGAATTATCTGCTGACAAAATTCCTGAAATAAAAGAAGTTTGAAATATTCCCATAATGTAAATTTAGAACAACATATATAAGCGAACAATATTGTTTTCGATTAGATCCTCATCAGGCTTTACTCTAATATGCAGTAGTATTTATATGCATATACGAAATTATTAAACCAATCAAGGTAGTTTATCAATCAATGATAACGATGAATAAAACGATTACATAATATGTGAAAAGTACAACTAGATAGTGTGATGACAGGTGTACTAGTTTTTATAAGAATAATAAAGGCTCAAATCAATGTTACATAATCGGAAATAGGTCAATGATTAGAAAAATATAGATAGTGAGATAACATTTATAAAATTATTATAAGATAACGTAATGAGAAGTGTTCAGATAATTGAACCATGAAAAAATAAAAATAAAATAGTAGGAAGAAGAATTAATGAACAGAGAGAAGGTTTGAAAAGAAAATAATAAATAAATTAATTTATTAAGGCCAAGCGAGAGATAAGGGTGTTACAAATTTCTTCTAAACACAAAGACTCGGCTTGTTGGCCCGAATTCCTATAGCTTCTGCTATGTGTAAGAGACGAGATCGAACACCATAGGGAAAATTAGTGGGAATACGATAAATAACTTTAAATGACTTATTTCTGTCCACTACATGACCACTATCGATTAAGTGTGAAAGAACTGAGCTTCGTATTGTCTTTACGTAACCTTTTCCTAACCACGATGGGAGGTGTTCACTAACTCTTTGGTTCAGTTGCCTGGTTGTGCGCCCAATATAGCTTTCTCCGCAGGAGCAGCTGAATTCGTAGATACACATAGAAGTGGCGTAACCAGGTAACTTGTCCTTCAGTTGGGGAATCGCCATAGATCGGGTCGAATACGATAGACAGAGGTTGGCAGCATTAAACGTTCTCTTGACTGCTCTATTCAGTCTATCACGCAATACATCACCAGCTACATCACCATTAAATTGCAGCTTCAAGAAAAGAGGTTTCTTATTAACTTTTGGTGTCACTATCTTCTTGTTTGTTATACGCAAGTGTTTCTTCAGGAAACCCTGTGGATAACCCATTTCAATCAACCTATTATGAATTTGCTCTAATTCCATTTCAATTGTGTCAACAGAGTATATCTTCATGGCTCTACTTGCTGAGCATTTGACTAAGTTTCTCTTATAATGAAGAGGCACAAAGCTTAAAAATTGTGTGTATTGGCTGGAAAGATTTATTCTATACACACCTCTGCTGATAGAACCATTTTCTTTTCTACTTAACAAAACGTCAAGGAAATGTAGTTTATTATCCATTTCCTCTTCACATGTAAATTTAATTGCATGATGTTTGTTATTAAATCGTTCCAGCAGTTGTTCTTTACTAATGTTCTGATCTGCAATGATGAAAGTGTCATCAACGTAACGACAGTATAAATCAAGCTCATTGATAACCTCTTTGAGAGGTCCGTTTTCTAGTTTAGCCCGAAAAAAATCCGCAAGGATGGGACCTAGAGGTGAACCCATCGCTATACCATCAATTTGTCTATAATATGTGTTATTAAAGACAAAATGGACATTCATTGTGCATTTCAAAAGTAATTCTTTAAGAATCACCTCAGGAATTCCAATATTGAATTGTTTTTCCTGTAGTTGTTGGCACACAAAATCAATGGTCTCAATTAACGGCACATTGGTAAACAGTGAAGCTACATCTAAAGACATCATACGTTTCCCATTCAAATTCATATGTTCCACTTTAGAAATGAAATCGAAGACGTCTTTCACACTTCTGTTGACGACTAGTTTATGTAATGGATTTAGGATTCGAACTAGCCACTTTGCAGTTTTGTGATATGGAGAATTATACATATCTAAAACTGGGCGAAGAGGAAGACCAGTTTTGTGAACTTTAGGTAAACCATATAGCCGCGGTGTGTTAGATCCAGTGGGTTTGAGTGAGTCATGTGTGTCAGGAGTAAGTATACCTTTATTTTTCAATTCTTTTAGTGAGTTAGCAATTTTTCTGCCTTTATATTTATGTCCTTCACGTCGTTGAGTTTCTGAAATTAAGTCGGATCATTCAAAATTGAGTTCGTTTTATTAATGTAATCAGCTTTGTTCATAAGAACTAGTCCACCTCCTTTGCCCAGTTTGCTTATGATCAGAGTATTGTCTTTTCTAAGCATATGCAAAGCATCTCGGCGCTAGTACACCTGTCATCACACTATCTATTTGTACTTTTCACACATTATGTAATCATTTTATTCATCGTTATCATTGATTGATAAACTACCTTGATTGGTTTAATAATTTCGTATATGCATATAAATACTACTGCATATTAGAGTAAAGCCTGATGAGGATCTAATCGAAAACAATATTGTTCGCTTATATATTTGTTGTTCTAAATAAAAGAAGTGACTGACGTGGGTCTATTTAGTACTAAGTTTCATCAATACATAACTATTAAGTTGTCCTCTGTAATATGTAACGCACCTACTCGTTCTGCAGTTAGGTACACGGTTAGTCAAAATGGTAAGGCAGGTTGCGATCAGTGTACTGTACTTGGGAGACGGCTTGAGGGAAAAATGACATTTCCAAATGGTGAATATACTTTAAGAACGGATGACAGCTTTTGTCATCAGATTCAATCTATTCACCATCAAGACCATTCGATTATGGAAACGCTTTCAATTATTATGATCTCAACTTTCGTCTAGATCCTACGTAGATGGTGTACCTAGGTGTCACCAAAAAGCTAGCTAATTTATGGATAGAATTTGGACACAAAAGACTGCTTAACTTGAACTCATGTGCAATTAGTGACATAAATAATTTAATATCTGGTTGCGCGGCAAGTACTCCGTCCGACTTTGGAGGAAATTTAGGCGTAAAGTCGACAATTTAGCGACAAGTTGATTGTGTATTTAGAGACGATGGTTTTTTGCCACTTATATCGACAACAAAGTTAAATAACTTGATTAGGAAGGCTTGACTCAGTGAATGTTTTTGGTAAAAATATGGACAAGCAAAACAGACCTCTGAGAGGCCTTATCCTCTTAATTTGTTGAGCAATCAAATGCACAGAAGGGCTTCAGATGTGTAGCACGTACAAACCGACTTTTTGAATCCCGCTGAAGCTTAGAAATGACACCGAGATGTTCAACAATTTAGTAATAAGGAAAGGAGTCCTATCGACGCATATTAATCCTCGCAGTTTATAAACTAACACCGCCTGGACCCCTCCGTAGGTTACAGGGTCCGGATGAAGGGGAAGGGTTGGGCTGGGGGTTAGCGACCCCATCCCGTAGAAAACTAACTCGCTAAAATAACGCTAACCAGAAAAAATTACTCAAAACATTTAAACTCTGTCCCGGGAGTCAGAAGGTCTTCGTTTAGAAGAATTATGACGCTTCATGATGAAAGCCGAGTTTCTTCGGAAGTCACGAGGCCGATTCCCCTTCTGACAACCAGAGCAACCATTTATTTAGGTACATGGAATGCTCGTACAATGTGGGAGACTGGGAGAGTTTTCCAAATTGCTGCAGAAATGAGGAGATACAACCTAGAGGTGCTTGGGATCAGTGAAACACATTGGACGCAAGTTGGACAACAACGACTAGCTTCAGGGGAGCTGCTGTTATACTCAGGACATGAACAAGAAAATGCCCCACATACACAAAGAGTAGCATTGATGCTGTCCAAACAAGCACAAAATGCACTTGTAGGATGAGAATCTCATGGACCAAGGATCATCAACGCCTCCTTCAAAACAAAGAAAGAGGGCATATCAATGAACGTCATCCAATGCTATGCGTCTACCAACGACCACAATGAAGACGCTAAAGATCAATTCTACGATAGGCTGCAGTCAATCGTCGAGAAGTGCTCAACAATCACTTCAACATGCCATGAGGTTCTGGGCCAAAAGAAGCACCATCACAAGGA